TTGTTGATATTCTTTGATGTCTCGGTTTGAGTATCGACAATGTCAAGGGTACGAGTGATCAATGTCAAATGGTTGGGAGTTATTTTCGAGCATATACTACTTTATAATTACTCCAAATTAATAAAAAAACCCTCTAAAAAGGTAAATTTTAAAGTTTAACCTTAAAAATGGTAAAATTGCATTTTAGCCTTGTCATAGATGCATAAAACTTCAAATTAATACAAAAAATATTAAATTACAAATTATAATAATAATAAAATTATATTTTAACCCTTTAAGAATTTATAATTTATTTATGAATCCTACAAAAATTCCAAGCTTCTTCCCTATTAGCTTGATCATACCTATTAAAACATATTTATCGGTTTGAATTGATTTCTCTTACCTAATAGATCACTAGGTTTTGTTGTTAATATGTGATGTACCATTGGTTTTGACCTTTGTGTATGGGTTTTTTGTTTCTATGTGCGTCACATTTCAAACTGTTGGATTAAGTTCTGCCATTATTTTATACCCTCAAAGCAATCGAAGTACCAATGAAATAAGTTGAGAGACAGATTAGATTACAATTATCACATCATTAAAGACTGTTGTTGAGAGGCACAAGCACGGTTAGAACTTTTAATCTATGATTTGATTTTTAAAATGTTGATGGTAAGTAAATGATTCAAAATCACATGTTGTAACCAATAATAAGTTGGTATAGTGAGACAAGACATTAAATATTTTAAGTAATGATATTAATTCGAATTTTGATGTTTGAGAATGAAATAAATTGAGTTGGAAGGTAATCATTACCTTTGTAATACCGATTCAAATTAATCTATTAATAAATCAAAAACTGATGGTTATAAAAAAAATCATAGGATGTAGCATACTCTTAGTAATCTAATGCAATAATGTGTGTTTTACATGAAAAAGAAAAAGAAAATAAAATAAAGGACTAAATATATATATTTTGTTAATATAAAGGGCCGGATATTCGGGGACCTGTCTTAAAAAGTAAGAGAGAAGCTGTGTATCACCGTCACATTGCTTTCATAGCAGAACAGTGCAGCTTTAATTACTCTCACCAGCTCCAATATTTTATAAAAGAGAAACGGAAGATCAAATTGTGTTAATAATCTTTATATTATACATAAATAACGTATTAAGTTCATATATTTTAATTTAATTAATGTTAATTTATATATATTTTAAATTTTTATTTTTATTCAAACTATATAGTAAGACTGAATTATAAGAATTAAAAGGAATATAAAATTTTAAAAAATAATTTAATCATAATGTCATATAACTATTGCCTTATTCTTAAAAAAATCTATTATCTCTTTTCTTTTATAATGTATTAATGTCTATTCCCTTATTCTAATTTGAAATTAATGTCTCTCTCCTATCCAATGCGTAACAATAATTCATGCGTTAATAGTTGATTTTAACTTAACAAATTTAACGGTTAATATGTAAGACAATATCAAAATTTAAAAAATTATAAAGATTATAAATAATTAAACTATTGATTAAATTTATAATTTATGCTTATTATTATAATTATATATTTTTTGAATAATATAAGGTGATTACATGATAGTATCTGTTTAAATTTTTTCTTAGTTATTAAAAATACACACACCTGCTTGAACCCAATACCCTTAGAAAGAACAACCACTAGCCCACTTGATAATCATATATAATTCTTATAAGTGTAAACTCAAGCGAGGGAGTCTCCATATCCTATAGGGTTAAGCATTAAAGCAGATACTACTCGTTTTTGTTTTGAACCTATTGAATGACCTCAATAATTATAGAGAGTATTATTCTCCTTAAAGTCAGGAGTTCGAATAGTTGCATTTATAGGGTGTGTATGCGTTGTGAATGATTTAAAAATGTTATGAACATATACTACCTTGTATATGACTTTCGACCCCTGTACTTTACTTAAATTCTCATATTGGCTTTGTACTATTTGTTTTCCTCAATTTGAATATTGTGAAATTGCATTTTTATCTCCCATAAATGATAAGATTTAAGTTTATCCTCTTCAAAAGCTATAAAATTATAATATAATACAATGGTAAAATTGTATTTTAACTCCTCAAAAATTTATGAATCAATATGGCCATCCAAAAAGATATTATAGCTTCACCCTAACCAACAAGTTTTGTCATATGCATACTTATTAAATACCAACAAGTAAGTTCATTTAATTTAAACAAAATGTACTTGAACATAATTTTAAGAGTTGAATGAGTATGAACTGAACATAAATAAATTAAAAAAATAAATGAATTAGATATCCCAACTAAATAGGCAAAGCTTGGCCGCATGAATGACACTGGTTGAAGGTTAGTGTTCAATTTAAATCAAACTAAATAGGCAATAGCTTTGAACAGCTCATAGTTTGGCTCCTACTTGTCTCATTATTTATAGCTCTTTCAATCTATCCGTTTTGGGTCCATCCCATTCATATGATTAAATTTAAGGACCCTAAAAGTATTTTTTTATTCAAAAAGATACATGCATTGTACCAATGTTTGATGTATTTGAATATTTGAACAAAATCACAACTAATGATTACATCAAAGTAAACAAATATATATATATATATATATATATTGAATTTTTTTTATTCAATGGGAGTATATATGGTATGCACCGGTTTTTTTATAGTTATTTTCTAATTTATTTTTATGAAATTTATCCTAATAATGTTATTTCTATAATTTAAGTTTATGTTCAATTTTTGAAAGTGCAATGTACCCAACCACTACACCCAAAATTCGTTGGGAATAAGGATTATCAAATTACCCAAACCTAATAAGTTTCAAACCAAACTAATTATATAGGGTCTGTTTTTTCTTCTAAAATTCATATTTGAGTGAGGTCGAGTCAAATTTAAGATGAAAACATTTAATTTGACATGTGATAATAATATAATTATCTTATACGTATTTAGAGATGATCACTCTTATACGTATTTAGAGATGATCACTATAATGTTTCTCTATATTTTTTAGTTATCTCTCTATTTTTCCAAATAAAATTAATTTTTTATTTGTGTTAGATCAAGTGACTAGTTTTTATCCTTAAAATTTAGGTTGAGTTAAAGTTGTTTTATCCCTAAAATCCAAGTTGAATCGAGATCAGATTAGATTTTATCTCTAAAATTTAGGATGAGTTCAAGTTGATGGGGACATCACTAAACATTAGATCAGGCCTATATTAAGTGAAAGTTTTTAATTTTTAAGTCGAAATCTGTCTGTTCATCCCTAGTTGAGATGTAAGTGAAGATTTAATCATTTGATTAATCATAAAACATCCTTGGCAAGAAATTAAAAAGAATCGAATTTAGAAGTACGATATACGAAGATGGAAAGTACCAGAAGGTTATTATCAAAGGAAAGATGGTACAAATATTTAGTGGTAGAAAGAAATGCATGGGAGAGGTGTATATATGGAGATGGTACGAATATTTAGTGGTTGAAAGAAGTGCATGGAGAAAGGTGTATATATGAAGATGGAAAATTCCAAAAATGTCATACAAGGCAAATCGCTATGAATACTTTAGTGGTTAATGTATGGGAGAGGTATGTTTGCTTGTCTCTTGTTGTCAATTAAAGTAACGTTTATATATCTAAAGATTTATACTTTCATTTCTATGTAGGATTGAGTTAACTTTACTTACACATCTTATCATTTAATTAAAAGATTAAATTTATTAAATTAAATAAATTATTATTAAAAAAATCCTCTAATCATATGGTGACACGCATCATGACTCATGTGTCACTATATGATTAAATGATTGAATTTATTAAATTAAATTAAAATTAGAATCAAAATGATAGAATGTGTATGTAACGAGGATTAAGTGTGTATTATACTAATTTCATTAACTATCACCCAACTCTTCCGTCAAATTTTAATGACAGGTGATTTGATTAAAATCATTTAAATAGTTAAGTGATTTGATTAGTAAAATTAAAAAATAAATGATTAAATTAAAATCTTCTCATAATTAAGTGATCGTAGATAGAATTTACCCATCTATTTTTTGAAATTATTAATGTGAGGCGACAGATGCTAACGTTTCCTCATGAATGTTGGTTGATGGGTACTAAATAAATGGGGGAATATGTGTAATTCAACAACCCAACAAGAAGCAAGAAAGAAGCGGTGAGTGTGAGAGAGAGATGATTGTGATTTCTTTAGAGATTCCGATTGCAATTGGAATCTTACATAGGACGCGCTATTGATTCCTATGCTCCTTTTTATAAGGGTAAAGTATAGTAATAGTCACTGAACTTTTCTAAAGCTTTCATTTATATCCCCTAACTTTCAAAACTTGCAATACAGTCCCCCAACATTTAGTCTGTTTGCAATATGGTCCCCCAACAGTTACGTCGGAGACCATATTGCAAACGGACTAAATGTTGAGGGACCATATTACAAACAGACTAAATGTTGGGGATTATATTGTAAGTTTTAAAAGTTGGGAGACCTAAACGAAAGCTTTAGAAAAGTTCAGTGACCATTACTATACTTTACCCTTTTTTAATTCTACTCTATGTTTATTATCTATTTTTTGTAGTTTCTTAAGTATATAATATACTTATTAGGACACCTGTCATCTTGTAATCCAGTGGTTTCAATTGTCAATCCAGAAAAACCAAAATACACTATGTTTTCAATTATGTTAGAAAATATATTTGATTCGATAATTGCTAATTGCAGACTTATAATTGATAACAATAATTAAATAATATTTTAAAGTTATTTATAAACATTAATTTAAATAAATATTGATGTAGACAGGACTTTTAATTAATTAATTAAAATCTTAAATGCATCATTACCCTTAAATTATATCATTTCTATCGAATTATCTCATAAAATAATTACTATAAATCGTTATTCAATTTATCTTAAATTGTTAACTACGATTAAACAAATCACCGACCAATCAGAACACACCATGTCACTCCTTAATTTTTATCATCTTTATCTAAATAAATAAAAATCAATTAATAAAGTAAAATAAATAAAATACCAAAATCAACCCTTCTCTCTTCCCTCAACCTCTCCTTCACCGTAACACCATCCTTTCCCTAACCCCAACACAGCTCTGTTTTCCATTTGTTCTTACACTCTTCGACAATGACACCAAGGCTCTTATCCGGTGAATCATTGTCCATTAAAACAAACAAATATATAAATGAAAAAGCAGAATTCAGTACGAGAAACAACAAATTTCGAACAATTAGATATAGGAACAAATTAGAACTAAAAAAAAGGAAAGAAGAAGCACGACCTTGGGATCTATTCGTATTTCTCAATTGCTTCCCTTTGGAACATAATTTTACCATTCTGAACAGCGTAAACCGAGAAACATTTAGGTAATTTTTGTGCGCAAAGTTTCGCAACAGAGGTAGACGACTGTATCGGGTTATGGGTTTTGGTAGTTCCAGAATTAGCTTAGCTGCTTCGAAAGACTTGGCTTCCCTTATCAGAGTCTTCTTCAGCAATGACCCTCTACACACTTTCAGCTTCAAATCAACCTGAAATCATTTTCCCTACCAATTTCCAACACTCAATTTATACAAAAAATAATAATAATAACTGTAAAAATCACCGGGCTGAGCCACCTTGACGAGCGCCCATGTCAGCAATTGCTTCCTGCCAGCGTCAAATTTGATCCCCACCGACTTCCCCTCCTTCATCCCCTTTCTCTCCGATCACAGTCATCTCCAAAAGCAAAGCGCCGCCGCCGTTTCCTTCCTCCGCTGCAAATGGTATCTGAAGGAGAAAGGAAAGTTTCACTTTTGGTTACTGTATAGGCTTTGCTTTTGCAGGTTATTCTTTGGAAGAAGAAGAGTTTGGTGTTGTGGGGTTGTTCAAGATCTCAAAAGATTTCGGTTCCCTTTTGGAGGTGATTAGTAGAGATTGGAATTTGAGCATCATTCAGCCGTGGGAGGTTCAAGGTCTCCTTCAATGGATAAATGTAAACAGAGCTGTGTTGGGGGTTAGGGAAAGGGGTGATGTTACGATTAAGGAGATGTTGAGGGAAGAGAGAAGGGTATTTTGGTATTTTACGTTATTAATTGAATTTTATTTAGGGTAAAGTATAGTAATGGTCACTAAACTTTTCTAAACCTTTCACTTAGGTTCCCCAACTTTTAAAACTTTCAATATAATCCCCCAATATTTAGTCTGTTTGCAATATGGTCCCTCAACATTTAGTCCGTTTGTAATATGGTTCCCGACGTAACTGTTGGGGGACCATATTGCAAACTGACTAAATGTTGGGGGACTGTATTACAAGTTTTAAAAGTTAGGGGACCTAAATGAAATCTTTAGAAAAGTTCAGTGACCATTACTATACTTTACACTTTTTATAATTATGAAATGCCAACAAAACACCATCTTTGATATATATGCCCTTTTCAAAGGGTAATTTGCCAACATGTTCTTGGAATTTGAGTTCCTTCACCAACACTCACAAAAGAAGATCTATTGGGTATTCAAATTCGTATTTTAGACAATAAGGTCTTGACTCATATCGTCAAATGGAAGTATCAAAGTTAAGTAATTAAATTAAAAAAATTAAATTTTAGTGACCATAATAAGAGTGAGAAAATAGTTGAATGATGAATGATGCAATTTATTAATAAAAAAGGTGCCACATACAACAATTCCTTTAAATTTGTAATGGCAAGATACTAAAATGAAAAAAAAGTAAGTGTTGGGTATGATTTGAAACAAATGAAAGTTTAGGTACTTAAATAAAATAAAACTGATAGTTTGAGCATTGAATAGGTAGTTTACCCTATTATATACGGATTGTTAAAGTTAGAAGGTAAAATTATTATGTATGGATTCTTTAATTAGTTTGAGTTGTTTTAATTATTGACAAGGATAAAATTAGGATAGTTCCATGAGAGGGTGTAAATTGATGAATTTTGAATGTGGTAGGGACTTCAGAAGTATTTAAATTAAAAAGGTAAACTATACCAAGTAACAAACATATTACTTCTTTACTGTTTTATTCTTTGAACTATTTATTTTTAACAAAAACGTCACTAATGTTATTTTTTTCCCTATTTTGGTCCTGACTATTAAATATTTGATGAGGACAGTAAGAATTTTTTGCAGTCACCACCTGGATATCTTATCTCACGAGCCAGGCGAGGGCCATCAGGTTCAGCTCCGAAATCGACCAAATATCCGGGTTTATTTTAAGACCACCTTTCTAGGTGTCGACATCAACCCGCAGCATGTGGTAACCTTTCTTCTAAAGTTCCGGATAGAATTGTCGATCCCATGTGCTGAATACCAAGCTCATCACGTATAGTCTGGCTTTTCCGTCTAAGCTCAACTGGATCATCTGCGGTCTCCCTCTCAGGGGATTACCCTGTAAAGAACGTAGCAATGTTCATCGATCGCTGATGACATGATTAATCCAACAAGTTGATATGCATGTTAGAACAGACCTGGATTTCCGGAACATCTGATTGCCATCATGTTTTACCATCTTCTGTCACAACGAGTACAGGGCTTTCGTTTTGAATTAATCCTCCAACCCATGCTTGGCCAGCCAAGACCGGGCTTTTAGGATCCCTGACTCCTCAGTCTTATACCGACGGACATCTCTGTGAAAACGATCGTCGAGAGAAATTAAGAAGTCGGTTTTAAGTCCTGGCAATTCATGAAGAATCCAGTTCTGCACCTTCAATGTTTTCACTGAGATTGTCACCTGCAGAAGTTAAATAAGTGAATTATAAGACATGTAAAAAATCAAATACTTGAATCTTATCACCAATGGTAATACAAGATTATATGTGCGCACCTTATGGCTCCATTATCTGTTTTGTAACAGCATTATTGCAATGAAATTGCAGTAGCAGAGAAAGATTGCCCCCAAATGGCTTGCTGATTGAAGCGTAGCATAGCCATCATCATACGTCTTCAAACGACATTAATTAGCTCCCAATTGCCTGAAAGATTATGTTGTAAGTTCACTTTGGATTAATGGTTGAAGTTGTTGCCTACCGTCTATGATTTCAAATACAAACATATACAGTACCAAAAACATGTCACCTGTATATAACCATTATGATCTTGATTCTTGAGTTTGGCAGCCAAGACACTAGAGAGTTTGGCCCCTGCAACGAAATCGAGAAGAAGACTGAAACGATCTTGTTGTTCGCATTACAAAACATAAGTCAAACTACTGATGATATAACTTCTCAAACATGCCAAACGAGAAGGAAAGAGAACACTTACTGCTCATCACTTTTACCAGTTAAAGTACTGCAACGTTATATGATCTACAGATAAATTCTTCCAAACCCTCTCCTATATGAACATTAAAAGTAACTACAATGATGATCAAATCCTATAAAACAGATATTATTGATGGTAAAACATACCGTGTTTGAGATTTATGATCATAGACCTCATCATGAAACTCAACTCCAAGCTTTCTCAACATCTGAGTTAGAGTCAGAAGCAGATTAGCTGTTGTTACAGCATCTTGCAATTTCCCGGACAACGTGAATCCGACAACACAGCAGTTCATGGGAATAAGGGAAAAGGGGCTGAAACTACCTGTCTAACATTGTTTCATCTGTTTCAGTTCCAGCAACTCCCTAACCGGCAATTCCTAATCCATTTATCATTGTTATGTGAATCTTTACCAACCGCATGATCCGGCTGAATAGGATTTCAACTTGATTCGGAGACGTATTCTCCCAATCAATGATCTTTTCAACATCAATCACAATAATTTGAAAGTTATCACAATTTCATATTGCAGATTGCATGTTCTGCTTCAAGTTCATCCTGCAAGAAAAATAACGGTCAGGGACCTAAATTTTTAAAAAGATTGTGTGCATGTCTTTACAACTCAATTTAGAGATACTCTAGTTTCTAAAGGAAATGCTTACCTGATGATTTTGAAACATGAATTTTGATGGTGAGTCACCTTGTTCTTCTGTTTCTTTTCCCATACATTCTGAACTTGTAAACCCATTTGTTCCCCAACTCATTCAGCACTGTATATCCAATACATAGCCCAACGACCAAACCACTAGCATATCCTACCAAAGCAATTTGCCAAATAGACATAACATCTAACCATGAATCTTCTTCATCTTCCCTTGGAGGAGATGGCATTGGAGGACCAACATCATTGCATCCCCTTAACAATGGTCGCCCACATAATTTTGAGTTCCCCCGGTAAGAATCATTTGAAAATGTATTGAATTGGTTGCTTTGTGGTATGCTCCCTTCAAGTTGATTGTAAGACAAGTTCAGTACCTCCAGGAAAGTTAGACTTGCAAGCTGTGGAGGAATCTTTCCTGACAGTTTGTTCTGTGAGAGATCCAAGGACTCAAGGCCTTTTAGGTTGTCAAGTGCTGATGGGATTTCGCCAGAGAAGCCGTTGTTTGATAAGTTTAGCACTATGAGTGACATGAGGATCTGTATTTCTTCAGGTATTCTCCCACGGAAACTGTTGTTGGAAAGATCAAGACAAGTAAGAATGGTCAAGACTTTCTCGTAAACCATTTCGATCCCTTTGTTGACAATCGTCACTGAGTCTTGATAGTAGTCCTCTCCGATGTACTCCCGCAGTGCTTTGTCACCATTAGTCATCTGCCTCATTGCCTTCAAACTTTGCAAAAATTCAATGGACAAGTCACCTGAAAAGTTGTTGGAAGCAATGTCCAAAATGCGTAGCTTTGGAAAACCACATTTAGTGTCAAATTTTGTGACAGAACCATGAAATCTGTTGCCTCGTAGAATGAGAACCTTCAAGGAAGGCAACTTATCCAATTGAAACGGGAATGTATCATGAATCATATTGTTTCCAAGGTCCAGAACCTCAAGTTTTGTGCAATTGGCTAATGATGTTGGCAGCTTCCCTTCCAATTTATTCCCACCGATTTTGAGCGACCTTAGTTGAGTGGCATTAAGGAAATCAATGGATAGTTCACCAGAAAATTGGTTAGAAGCAATGTCTAACACATCCAAAGTTGGAAAACCAATTTTATGTTTCAAATGTTTAATTTGACCATAGAAACTATTTCCCCGCAATATTAGAACTGCCAAATCAGGTAATTTCTCCAACCAAAAAGGGAAGGTATCACTCATCATGTTGTTTCCCACATCCAAAACATAAAGTCCAGTGCATTTCTCCAATGATCTTGGCAGCTTCCCTTCTAATCTATTGTCACTAACTTTGAGAAACCATAGTCGGGAAGCTTTTGAAAATTTTGGTAAGGTTCCGCTCAAGTTATTTCCATGAAGATCCAGATAGTCGAGAGCTCTCAGATTACCTAAGAAATTTGGAATTGGGCCGCTCAAATTGTTATGAGATGCATCGAAATACCGAAGTCGACTCACAAGGCAAATGGGTGAAGGTAAGGAGCCTTGCAAAGAAGTTAAACTGTGGTTGGGTAAAAGTTGGTCCAAAGATGAGAGATGGTTCTTAGAAAGGTTCAGATAACCCAAACTTTTCTTCCACACCCAGTTTGGTACTGCACCACTTATCCTGTTATTTGAAAGGTCGAGTGTATCCAAGTTTTCTAGACTCCTTAAGAACTCTGGAAATGCACTTATGTTACAGGATATCAAATATAATTCAAACATCTTTGGAAAAGAAAAGTTTGCATCACCGAAGGGAAGCTGTTTTGGAAAATCAATGGGATTGAAAGAAAGATTTACAAATTGAAGAGAGCTCTTCCACAACCAATTAGGCACAACACCGTGGATATGGTTGTTAGAAAGATCTAGAAAAGTCAACTTGTCTTGTGTTTTGATGAATTCTGGAAATTCAGTAAGGTTGCATGACCTTAGGAATAGGATCTCTAGTTTGGGAAATTTAGTAAGACTTGTGTTGTCGCTTTCAATTAACAAGCTTATATTGGATAGGACGAGAAACCTTAAGTCGTCGAGTTGAAAGAACATGTCAAGCTTCATGGAACTAAAGCTATTGTCTCCAATAGAAAGCACTTGAAGCCTTGGGAGTTGAAGGATTGACTTGGGGATTGTTCCTGTTAAATAATTATTCCCTAAACGTAATTCCTCAATCAATGAAAAAGACGCATTGGGGAACTCATCTATTTTCCCAACCAATTGATTTCCACTGAGATACAGTTTCTGTAATGATGGAAGAGTAAATAAAGAAGAAGGTATTGATCCTCTAAAATTGCAACCCCGTAGATCTAAATAAAGAAGAAGGTTACCGATTGATTCAGGTAGTTTTCCACTAAAATTTGTACCAGAAAGCGACAAACTCCGTAAATCACTATTTGATGGAAATTCAGGCAAATGACCCTTAAGTCCCCAATTATCTGAAATGTCAATGCTTTGAATTTTCGGCAACAAGAGAATTTCTGTTGGAAAATGGCCACTCAGACTGCAATCTGCCAAACTGAGAGAAACCAAAAGAGAGGAATTTTTCAAGAAATTGGGAGGTACATAAGAGATTGGATTTCCGTCAAGGATAAGTTTGGAAAGAAAACCAAGTTTTGAGAGTGAAGGACATAATGGACCTTTTAAACCACAGTATGCAAAGCTCAGCACTTGTAGGTCGGAAAGTACTAGAGATGTGGTTTCACACCATTTAGCACTATGAGTTGAAATGTCCACACCATCCAAATGAAGCTCTCTCAGAAACCTCAAATTCTTGATTAATGTCTTGAAGCTTGGTTTCTCTAGTCTCAAAGTAGATAAATCATAATCATCACCATTTCTCCAATAGCAACCACCTTGATCAGAGAGATCGAGAGAAACTAACCTTGTTAAGTATGAGATCTCCATTGGAATTTGGCCATGGAAACATGAGCTGGAGAGATTGAGATGAGTTAGATTTTGGAGTTCATCAAACCCATAGGAAAGCAGAGTGGTGTTGAAGTTGTTTCCAGCAAGGTTAAGGCGCTGAAGATGATGGAGATCGAAAATGGAGTGAAAGGTCCCGGAAAGGTTTTTGTAGCTTAGATCAAGTCCGATGACATGACCAATGGCATCATCACAGGTAACTCCTTCCCAAGAGCAACAATCAGTGTTGGGATCCCACAACTCAAATTTGGAAGTGAAGGTAAATTTTGGGGCATAGTAGAGATCATGCTGCAATTGCAACAGAGAGGATCTCTGGTCATCAAGGCAATATTGTTTTGGGAGATGAGATTGAGAAGGAGAAAAGGAAAACACAAGAGAAAGGAAGCAAGAGAAGAGGGAAATGAGGAAATGGAGATTCTTCATGTTTGCTGGCTATGGCTGTGAAGGAAGATTGTTTGTATAGACAACATATTTATAGGAAAATCTTTGTGTGCATGTATTGGTAGGAGTCTTTGGCCTTGCATGCAAATGTCAGTCTTTTTGCCCTATTATCACTCCATGAAATTTAAGCCCCACCCCTCTGTTTAAGTCAAGTCATTAAACAGACAAAGATATACAGAAAATTTCTTCGCTGTTTGAGATGGACTGAATGAGCACAACCACACAATAGGTGGAAATTAGTTCCGATTCCACAAGACTTTTCTTCTATTTGGAATTGCATGCCAATTTCCAGTCTTTTTGCCCCTTCATTACTGCATCATAGTAGTCATCAAAAACACAAAACGATGAATTTTCTAAACCCTAAACTTGAATCTATGTATAAATATCCAAATCAATCTTGCCCAAAATTTTATTTAGGATAAACTCTATATTTAGTCAGTTAACTTTATCTTTGTTTATATTTCAGTAACTCAACTTTAATTTTTTTATCGTCCAACTTTTTGAAAAAATATATAATTTAAACGTTAATTTTAGGAAGTCTTATTTATGAAAGTAACCTAATATTTTACCTTTCTTTCTCTTAGCCGACGTCCTTGGCCACCATTTGTAACATAATTGGTTCCAAAATGTTTCCTTGTTTCTTCTTCTTAATTTGACTTTCCTTGAAATCTCTTTAAAATCGACAAAATTCAAACCCAAACTTCAATCTTGTATTGGTTGATTTGCTATCTGCGCCATATGATCATCATGAAATTGAAATATATTACTTTTCTTCTCCTTTCATACCTTTTTACCGTTTCGAGTTGGGTAATATAATCAAAAAAAAATTAAAAGGGAGTGACTAAATAGAAACAAAGGTAACATTAAGTGACCAAATCATAATATACTTTTTTAATACCTTTAGACCCGACTCAGATCCAAACCCTAAAATGATTCCGTTAATATCAGCCGACTCGATACAAAATTTTACAAAAAAATAAAAATAGGGTGAACTATTCAAATGACCAGTTAACTATGGGATTGGTATTGATATGACCACCATACTTTCAATTTTGACAATATGACCACATAACTATTTAAGTGATTTCAATGTAGCCACTTGCCGTTAAAAAAACTGCACAACTGATGTGGTTATTGACTAACAACAAGTGACTACATTGAAACCACTTAAATAATTATATGATCATATTACCAAAATTGAAAGTATGGTGGTCATATCGACACCAACCCTATAACTAAGTGATCATTTGAGTAGTTTACCCAAAAAATTATAGTAATATATCAATCTTTGTAAAATGAATCAAATAAAGTTTGAATTACAAAATCATACTTATTAACTTAATTTTTTTCACTCGACTTGATTATATATTCACCCCTACTAATAGGTGTGGAACTTGGAAGCTGTGATTTGCTTTTGCTTTTTCTTGACTCCTATCTCAATTACATGTTGATCCTTAGGTAAACTATTTAATTCTTGATTAAATCTGAGATCGAGTCGAATCGAATAATCTTTTTGAGTAAAAAGAATGGAATGTAATTGTATACATGAAAAAATACACTATAAATATAGAGATCACAAAGAGTAAAAATACATGATATCTAATGTATCTTAAGATCCGGTATGTATATCAAAACCTAGTGTATTCTAAAATACCCTCCCTATATCCTTACAGAACTCTCTACAATATAAACCTCAAAAGTTGTAGAGACTACAAAATGATTACATCTCTCTAGAAATTTCTTTCTCGTGATTCTAAAATCTAAGACATATTTTTTATTTACGGAACCAAAAACTAGGTTACCAAGAATCAAAATTGAAGTTCAACTCGACTCAAAGCTCACAAGCTTATATTTAAAAAAAAAATCTCACGAGCTACTTGATACTCGACTCGAAAACTCACAAGCTTAAAATTTTCAAGCTCGACTTGAACTCAAAATAAAAAAATTAAAGTTATATTCAAGCTTGAAAAACCATGAACTCAAAACATTATCAGACTTAGCTCGATTTAAGCTTGAACTCGATCTCAAACCTTAAGTAAATGAAAACTCTATATTGTACTTTTTAAGAAAACAACATATAAATGTTAATACTATTATTAATTTACTTTAAAAATTAAAATTTTAATATATTTTTTTTCGAGTTGCTTGCGAGCTTTTCAAGTCTGGTATTAAGTAGTTCACTTTGACTCGTTAAGAACTCAGGTCAAGTTCGAGCTCGAGTTGAGTCTATTTGATTCAAATGTTAATAAAGTCGAACTTGAGTAACTTGCGATCTGTTTATATCATTTACAATCCTAGTGGCGGATTCACATGTATATTAGAACGAAAACGACCAAAAATTACTGAAAAACATATGTAAGGTTTATAGTGTTAGATTTACACTTATATTTAGAAAGAGAAAATTAGAGACAATAATCACAAAAAAATCATAAAAATAAAAACATTAAACTCAGATATAGGAAGAAAAAAATCAAACTTTTCATTGTGAATTACGACCAAAATCAAAAGAATCTAGTAACCTACATAAAATTTCTTCGTTTTTGTCAAATGAGACGTTTTATGAAGTGACAAAGGAGTGCTAAGCTAACCTGCTGTAATCAAAACTCATATTCCACATAAACCATAAGTACAAATATCTTGATCTCAATACCACATAAAAACAGCACACATGACTTACATATTCTCACATTAAAGTAGACAAACACAAAGGCATTCTTCCTGGAAGGAAAATTGATTTTATTTATAACCATTGGAATTTGACATGGTTATATGTAAGAGATGAGTATTCAATTTAGTTAAGTTAATCAAGAATATTTGAGTTAGTTGAATTTGACTGGCTCTTCCACTGTTAGCATGGCTAAATAGTTCAGAGAAGTTGCCTTTAGCATCGTACTCGGTGTGGTTCGCCGATACACAGCGATCTAGTGTTGGCTTACTCTCTTCCGTAGCGTGGTCTACAGGGATGAACTTGAACAATGTACATGAGTCCTTGATTTTGGAGGTGGCAGCAACCCAGTACTCCGATTGGATTCGTTCCAAATATCTGTTGTTTTGACAGTTTCTTATGTGCACCAAGCCCTTCGAGGTGGAAATCTTCACTTCAAACTTGGCATATGGACTCACAGCTTGAGTTTCAGAGAATTTGAGAAACCCATCAGTGTCTCCACCTTCATGAACATAGCTCAAGTAATCTTTATTGTCGTTGGGTGCGAGGACGATAAACCTTGGCAACTCCAATGTCGATTCGAATGCCATTTACAAGGATTATCTCTTGGTGTGTTTCACTCTCACTACTTGCTCACCACATGCAACCACCTTGGCTACCTATTTATGTTGACAATAAAGGATCAATATGCACGTTTAAAAATAAAATAGAGCCGGTATACCAACAATCATGTTTCAACCTATCTACCAAAATCATTATAATTTTCAATCGTGGATATCTTGGATTACCAAAATCAATATGAAATTGTTGTAACCTCCAACATCTTTCATGATTCAAATACTATGGTACATTTTAACATCAACTTCTCACACAATAAGTTATAGACACTCGTGCAAAAGCTATGTGATTATTCTCCCTCTAAGTGTTTTCCAGGAATACTCAAATAATACAAGTTTCCTCATGACATATGAAATCCTTCAAATTAATTCCTCAATCACATATGATCCCCTGTTGATTGATACTAATTTTATTTTGTTTATTTATATTATACATAAAAGGTTCTATTGTATTTATGTCAAAGGTCAGTTGGGACAGGATTGAAATACATTTATTTTAAAGGATAATAAATATTTGATATAGATATGTCAAGGTCATTGTATTATTTTAAATTTAGTGTTTATATTCTATAATTTTAAATAAATAGATAAGCAGGTTGAATAAGCACGTTCAAAATAAAAATAAAGCCGGTATACTAGCCTTCATGTCGTACCTACCAAAGTCATTATAATTTTAAATAAAAAAGCAAAATTATATAATCAATTTCATTGAAATCTGAGTTTGAAATATATGTATAAACAAATTGAAACGACCCTTAATTTCCCCACTTTTACTAATCTATTATCAAACAAAATTTTTTATTTCGATTTAATATTTGTATATTTTCTATCAATTATTCTTGTACACGTCATCAGTTGTATTAAATTTGGGACATTATGACATCATAATAATTAATATTGGCCATGCCCATTGTATCGGTCTTAAACCGACGTCAAATTATTTAAATATCATTTCGGTTAAATTTTAATATTTCAATCATTTTAATATGTGTAGATTTATTTCGGTTAATATCAATTTGTACAGAACATTTACATGAAAATCGTTAGTTAAGGTTCAGCTATTACCTTCTGTTAAACTGCAGAAAAACATCTCTATTTCATCGGACAACCTTTTGTTCCCTGAATTGGTGTCTGAACATGACTGAGAGACCATCCAATGAACGAGATACTCGCAAAGTTCTGCTGGATCGTCCGCCCAGGTGATGCTCCTCCGAGCATGCTTATCAGTGGTATGTCCTTTACCATTGTTGTACATTCGTTTTCTGCAAGCCTACAATACCAAAAATAACATAACTATGTTGTTTCTTATATCTATCTTACACGAATTCTTCATTTTTCTTAAAATATTTATATTATGTTCAATACATGTTCTAAGATCCTCCATCTATATGATAGTATTTAGAAAGAAAAAAAGAATCAAGTATACTCATATTGAACACACAGTTTTGTATATCTACGAACATATTTTGTGCCATTGTGATAAGCAAAAGAAGAGAGAACAGGTAGCATAAAAGAGTTGATGTTTACCTGGAACACAATATTAAGACTGGTTATATGCTCTGTCTTCAAGAATCCAGACTCGAGGAGAGCTCGAAATAAAAGCACCATCTCGGAGCTGACGTCCACGACTTTAAGGTTTTCAAGTATAGAATATATGGAAAGGTCATCGAACACGGTCCGCATCCACCCCGGAATCTTCTCGAGTTTTAGCAATGTAACAGCTAGATGAACGGCGGGTTTGTGATGATTAATGAATGACTTTGATGCTAAGCATGGAACTGCCATGGACATAACCGGAAGTACTCATAAAAATAAAAATTGACATGGTACCTTTGTAGACAATGAAAGCCAAGGTTCTCCATCAGAAAGTGTTTCATGGTGCACTGTACTTAAAATATTAAATAGCAGAAGTAAGATGGCCACAAGTAACTCTGAGGAAGAAGAATGACTTGAATTATAATAAACTACCATTAGGGCTGAATCGCCTATTCCATGCAAGCATAGTTGGTCTGAGGCAGCTGGAAAGATGTTTATGACTGCTATTATAAGATTTACTACAGTTATAATGTCTTGATTCTTGGCTCCTTCCTCAGCAAGCTCTAACAATAAACACACCAAAAGTTTTGCAGCATGGTTATCTCTCGCTGCAACCAAGTCTGCAATTACCCTTACATCTACAATGTGAGACTTGTCCATATGGATGAGTATTTTGTTTCTATCTGAGCAGTCTATTCTGCAGAATTTTAGAAGTTGACTCGATAATGGCTTGATGATTTTCTCCTGTTGAAACAACCATCTCACTGCTACCAGATGAATCGTTGCAGAAGGCAAATCCCATTCACTTTGAGAGAGCATATGGAACAAGATCCTCTCAGCTTCCAGGCTGTGAGAAACTTGGATGCTCAACTTAGAAAGACCTCTACATAGGCCATAAAGATTCAAAACTTGCATCATTGTCAAGGAATCCATGCTACCTGATAAGAAATCTCCACTGTTGACAAGAATATATTTCTCTAGAGAAGCTAAAACCGATCTCTCATCTGCAAGCCTACTGAAGATATTCAGAGAGTTGGAAATATAGGTTAAGAAACAAATGTTAGAAATGCAACATGAATGAGATGAAAAAGACAGTCGGTTCATTTACCAGTCATCATGCAGGCAACTGAAATGCAAAAGCAGTAAAACTGCAGCTTGGCAAGAAGACAAATCTATATCATGGGAGTTCTTCTGCCCAAGAAGAAACAGCAAATCAATAGGATCAGATGGAAGAAAAAATGCAGCATCCCTAATGTGCTGTCCAGATTGATTTCCCAAAAGAACTTCCACAAGTGAACTGAGCATTAGATATACTCTCCATTTCATCTTTTCAGCAGGAACTAGTCCCAGACATCCAAATGAAAAACTGAACCAAGAGGATGAAAGTAGGACTTTTGCTAGTTCTGTTGCTTGGATATCAGGTTTTGAACCAGTATAAATTGGAATGTTTCGAATACCCCCATGACAGTTTCCTCGTCAAGTTCATTAACAGCCATGGAAAACCAAGGTAATATATGTGAGGTACATATTTCCACAATACTAGTTCGCAGTTCAAAGTTGCTGGATTTGTTTGCAGAGCACTCTTATTGACTGTATGAATATGCTTCTTTAAGAAGGTATAAAGAATGCAAGAGTCGACCAGGATCTTTCTCAGAGATGGTCAGACAAGCTAGAACAGCATGTTTCAATGCTTCTTGAAGTAATGATGGAAGATTTGAAGCCCCTTGAGAAGATGGGAATTTTAGAAGAACTACAAAGATGGAACAAACCAATACGAATGTCTCTGGAATCATGCCAATTTCCCCATTTCTATGCCTTTCAAGCATCCTTGACAAAATAAGAGCTAATTCATCAATGTTAGAGGTTGATGCTATTCCAGGGCAATCAGAAACACAATTTTGTATAAGCGTATGTGTGAGAGCTTGAGCAGGATGGAAAGGAACTTCAGCCACATAACGAAGCACCGGAATTAGAGTTGGAAAACCAATAATAAATCTTTGTCTGAAAGGCTGTTCCATGCATGGAAAGAGATTAAGAACCCTAACACAAGAGTAGACCAGTGGATCCTTGCATTCTGTTTAGCAAGAGTAGAACTTCATCACTACAAAAGCTCGCAGCATGATATAATTATCACACATAGATAGATATGCAAGCATACATTTTGTCTGTACAAACATAAGCACCATGTTCACATAATATATTCCATGACGAGCACACATGAATTCTGTCAACCGATAATAATAGAATTTGAAAAAAAATGCTTTCATGACTAATTTTAATATTGAATTTGCTTAAAACTGAATGCTTGATGAAATTCAAAAACTAAACTACTATCTTATTTTGTTTGAAGTACTTATGAAAGCAGTATTTTGGGTACTTTAACTCACTGAGGTAACTTGAATATCATTCACCTGTTCCAATTTATATCACTTACCTGATAATCTTAATATCTCAAACACATAATCAACAATATTTTCTTCTACCAAAATTTGAATCTGTTTGGGGGAAGCATCTCCACATGACAAGTAGTGGAAGATCAGATCCAATGTGCTGATTTGGACTTGGCTGTCTGATGAAAGCAGTGGGCCTTTGATAACCTCGGCAAACAATATACTCAATGGGGATTCATCTGGTCCTTCTTCAGTCGTTTGCATGAAGTGGTCTGCTTCATCAGAACTCAAACTGCTTATTTCCAAGTCCATTTCCAAACAATCCAATTTGTGCCAAGAGCATCAGAAAAGCTACAAAGGTACAATTGGAAATTGTTAGTTTGAGAGGACATATTATAATGATCATGACGAACTGCAGCTGCATTGGTCAAGGTAGCCTTACTGTGTGAGATGAGTACATTCCTAATAAAGACCCTAATCAAGACCATATTATGAACAACAGCGAGTTAAACCAGACTTTTTGAATGATATTAATTAGCTACATAATAGACCTGGCTACAGTTTATATTGGCACTAAACTTCGAAAACTTTAAATAAATCAATGCAAAAAATAATTTGACAAACCTATTCCATTCAATCGTACATCATCTCTTTGGGTTTTCAGAAGGGCCTCCATTGACAAACGCAATAAACTGGGACAAAAAGCATGAAGAACATTTGCTCCTACACAATCTTTAGATGCATATCCTTGAGCAGATGGTTTATACAGAACAAATAGAATCTCTCCTCGGATTTCATCACTGCAGTATGAAACAACTAATTAACAATCCAAATTGATTACAAACTCTTTGTATCCAGTAACTTTTATTCGTTACCTTGGCAATTGAAGACCTGCCACCAAATTGGATACTAGAGCATCTTTGTCTCTGATGTGCATACAAGGATCATTTGTTTGACGGTTCAGGAGAACTCTCAGACAATGAAGCTGGAATTTAAGATAACCAGACATAGCAATTGATCAGTTGTCTAACTTTTTGAAGATAGCAA